CGTTTTGCGGCTGGCAACGTCCTGAAGAAAATCTGCAAAATTGCAGAATTACCACAGCGAAAACACGGTTTCAGGTCGACCAATGCTCAAAAACCCCACCGTCGGATATCCGACTCGTGGGTACTACTACCACTACCACTACTACCACTACTACCACTACTACTACTACTGCTACTACCACCAATTGACAGAGGAGTTTCCATCTCCTTTTCCATTCCTTCATTCCTTGCTAAGCAGAGGTAAGAGTGAGGCGCCATGTCAGGTTCATGCTGAAGACGCTGTGCAGCTCCTCCTGTAGGGACGCATCCCTAAACCCTAAGCCCTACTACTATGTACTACTACTACTACTACTACTACTACTTCATCTGCTAAACCACGGCCACCGTTTTTGCTCCGGCTCGGAGAAGGCAGCGCGCTTGTTGGCAGGTTGAGATGGCCCTGGCGGACATGAACAGAAATGGAGGGCTCCAACTAGATAAATGGAAAGAATAGACACCTAACTTTCGGAAGAGTACTGAGTCAAAAGTGCATGCAGCTTCAATAAAATGGGAAATCCAACTAGCGTGATGCTGCCTGCCACTATGCTCTGGCTACATGATGCTTGGAATCTGCACGTTTTATAGCTATAGTTGATTTATAACTACAGTTATGCTGTGGAATTGAGCTGCCAGCCGACAATTTCCATCAACAGGATCCTAGGGATCTGTCGGTAGTCAGAGATTCAACAATTGCAAGGTAGGATCCCTCTTCACCGCTTCCTATGGACCAATGAAATCTTAACTTCGGGGTAGGCATTGTAGCGTGTGTTTCGCGGGGTGGGGCTCGTTCACAGGGTGGATGATTGATGCAAGTGTGTTCATAGCATCGCCATCAGCTTGATCACGGTCCAACGATCTAGTCGTCCTAGCTTAGTTGCGACAGTGACCGTATGGGGCGGCTATACGAACACTAACAATCGAACTTTCGGAGATTGCTAGTTTTTGAGTATTATGAGCAATGAGTGAGGTCATTGAAATACTATACTATAGTGGTTTATAGCAGGCAGGGGGGCCGCAGGTAAGGGGTATGTGTACGTGTGGCCACATGTTGAATCGTGCAGGATTTGCTGCTTGCATGCTGTTTCAGACATGTTTGTCCAGCGAGAGCATCAGATGCAGGAGAGCTTATATGCCAGGCTATCGGGACATGCGCGTGCAGACTTCATAGAACTGTCGATGAAGGAGATTACAGTATTCGTGCGATTCAGCGTCCAAAACACTGCCCATGGAGGTATAAATGCACTTTGTCCAACTTCCAAAGGCCCAGCAGTCACCTTCGCTGCCCCACAGCCGGGCTTTGCTCTCCACAGGATCTACCAGCCATTTGCACGCGTCATGCTAGAGAACAGATTAGGTCTGTTGCATGCCATGCGGACACCCTAGGCCCGGTGCAGATTAGGGTTGGGAGGTTGCAGGCAATGGGACGGAGTGGGGACGTTTGCTTCGAGAAAAGAATCCGTCACGCACGCAACGATTGATGCGCAAATGCCTGCCTAGTCGCCTGCCATTTGCAAGCACTCGCAGATGTTGCACGATTTCATAGAGTTTCCAAACATGAACCGAAATGCTTCGAAGCAGAAATATGTCGCGCAGTCTTCGAAATAGGTGGGGACCTGACCAAACCCACCACCCCCTTTGGAACCCTAGTAGTGGGGAGGGAGAAACTTCTGTTCATGTGCATCCGTGCACTACTTCCTTTGGGACCATTACAGTCAGACCCAACTCCGAGAATCCTTTTTCCATGATTGCTAAGCCGCGTAGTCAGACCCAAGCCTGTCAGATAAAAGGGGCCATGCTGATGAGACTGTTCAGCTTGTTATGAACATGGTTTACTCTGGTCTTGAAGAACAGAATGATAATGGTCGAGTCAAAACATCCATCCCATACTGGCAAAAAGAGTTGACGACAATGATTGCAAGACCTTACGTCTCGCTGTGGTATCCGCTTCAGAGCCTCAGCCCTCTGCAGATCAAAACTGGCCCCAGTGCCTCTGGCAGTAAGGGCGCAAGGAATTGTATTTTTTCCAATGGGTTTGGGCGGAGAATGTGCATCTACCGCAACCGCCCTTTTCAGGGCACGAAATCATATCCCTCCGTTCGCCTCAAGACTCTACAGGTCAAAATGGCCCCCGCTACCTTTGGCATTGCGGGCCAGAAGAGCATGCAGTTGAAGGTCCTTAGCAGTGCTGGGATAAAATGGAAGTGAACCCATCGTGCCTGCATCTTGTAACTTGCAGAACCTGTTGCTAGGGAAAACTCATTCCACTGTGACCCGGTAGCATGTAGAAGACCAGAATCAATAAGAACGCCACGAGGAAAGCGGGATGCCCAGTGAGCACGAAGCTTTCCAAGACGCCTCCCATGAGGCCGGCAACCTTGGCAGGGTTTACTTACTGGGAGTCAACCAAGGAACGAAGGAATGTGTTTTAGCGTTTAGAATAATGGTTTTGATAGCGACTACTGTAGGGATCCTTCTCAGATCCTGTTGTCCATTCCCTTGAAACGGCCAGCAGGTTTGGGGCTTCGGGTGCAGGATCTGGATTGGAGTTATACTTGCGGAAGCCTTCTTGCGACAAATGCAACGGAAAGAAAGCTGCTGAAGTCCTGGGCAGCCGGGAAGCCGCACTGAATAAGCTGTTAAGCAGGTAGCCGCAGACCAGGAGCAACAAGTTGCGAAAACAGCCGGGCCCAATTAACGTTGCAGCCCACTTCGAACACAGCAAAAGGCAAGGGTGGTTCAAAGGCAAGCTGAGTGTAAAAGCCAGGCAAGCCACCGAAAGGTTCAAGAAAAAGTACTGCCCCTCGGAGGTATAGCCCATCAGGCCATAGAAGGAGCTTGCAGCCCGCACCTGCGCTGTGTAGTCCAGAAAGGTAGGCAGGAAAGTCAGCAGACAGACCTTGGCTGCTTAACGGGAAAATATGGGATTATATAGGGGTATTATTTAGGGTTATATAGGGATAATGGAAACTACTATATATGGGGTTGGAGGCGATTCTCACACACAAAAAACAGGCGCGGTGACCAGCGGCGAGGCCTTCAACAAAGATGAAAGTGGTTACTAGCAAGGCTACAATCTGAAGGGGCAACATGGGGAAGCAAGCCTAGAATCCAGCAACGTGCTTAGGTCTTTTGATTGCCTTGATATGAGCGCGGTTTCATTGGATAATCAGAAGGTAACAGGCTATGGCAGGATTCATGAAAGATGTGGTTTGTGTTCCCACAGTCCAAATTTCGTACCAGTAGCATCAACAGAGGTTGCAGCCAAATAGCAGCAGCAGCAGTAGCACTTGCAGAAGCAGCAACAGCAGCAGTCGTCGTCGTAGTAGTAATAGCAGTAGCAGCAGCTGCAGAACTTGTGGTAGCAGATGTGGTAGTAGCAGTAGCAGTAGCAGAAGGAGGAAGAAGAAGAAGTAGTAGTAGGATGAAAAATGCCGACGTCATCTACGACTACCACTAATTGCCGGTACCGCGAGATCTTTAGGAAACGAATGCGAGATCTTTCAGGAAACGAATGCGTGGCAATTCAAGATACTGCGTACAATAGCACTTTCCCACTCGGCTTCTGCATTGAGCCATCAAAACCAACCAGAACATCCTGCCCGACACTTTCACGACTACCCTGAACATGGCCACTACATGTAAAGTAGTGGTCACCATCATAGTAGGCATACCACCCTGTGCTTCTGTGTCTAAGCGTCCAGACCCCCTGGAAGTTTAGCAAGGCGGCATGCCATAATCAAAGCATCCCACATGCACCCGTGACTTCATGTGACCCTGGGCCATCGGAGAAATAGCTATGCTGCTGAAACTCTGCAGAAGACTTTAAGACTCTGTCTTGACGAGGCCGAGACACGCTCCAGGACAGATAGGTTGGGGATCCCAAGTCCTCCGTTACCGCACCCTGCAGCGGCCCTCGGACGTAATCCTGAGAGTTGTTTTGTTTGCTTGTTCACACTTTTCTGGATTTATGGTTTAGGCCCAAGGGGCTTAGCAGTTTTGGTTTTAGGATTTTACGTCCCGTCACGTCTTCTGAAGGGTTCGGATACAAAGGACCAGGCCAGCTTTTTTTCAAATCATGCGTGTGCTTCCCTGAATTGAGAATGCCATGCATGAAGCTACGGCGCGGGTCCATGACTTACGAATCCTCCCTTGTCAGGGCAAATAAGGCGGCAAGCTCCCAACAAAGGCAAGACTCGTCTGGAAGGGCTTTTGGAACGAGACCGTGGACGTTCGCAAACAACTAAAGCATTAGAGTCGTAAAAGAGTTTCTTGATGTTTTAGCATCTCTAGAAGACTGTACGACGGGTTGGTGCTCCAAATGTTCCCAGCAGCTAGCTCAACATCATCCTCCTCACATCACCGGGTCCTGAATACCATGCTCACTAGAATGCACCACCACGGAGGCCCCATGCAGGTTTCCTTTTCAAAGCCTTCTTTCACAACCATGCCACAACAGGCCCGGGCACATCAGTGCTGGGACCGCTAAGCTAGATACCTACAAATCAAAGCTAGGGAGTAGCATACGACTTCGTGTACAGTAGAACCTGAGTATGCCTGCCAAGTCCGGCCAGCTGAAGTGTTCAGGCCCTTCAGGCCATGAACTCTGCTAGGAGCTTAACGCCTACTGCTTTCTTCCTGGTACACATGCCATCGCCAGCCGTCCGCGTTTGCATGCTGCTGCTTACTGCCATGGATGTCTGGCAACAGTGCTGTACACTGTCAATGCTGGTTGACACGGCAAAGACCCTCGAAAGAACATCTAACATTCGAGCGCCAAAGCTTGGGCATTGAACGCCCAAGGCCTAGCCCTGCATCACCTGCCCTAGACACAAAGCTGAAGTCTGAGAACCCTGTAGCTCTCAACTCAAATGGAGGGCGCAGTGTTGAGGCTGCATGGTTTGGAGCATTATGAAGACTTTGGGCTCTGCTGGGAGATCCTATGCTATGGGCCACAGAGCTTAAAACCAAGGTTAAAGGTCCCACAACTTTACAATGTCCCTTTTGTGGGGTTGTATGCCTAGGAAACGACTATGATTATATGCAGGGTTATGTCATATACTGGTACTGGAAAAGATGGAAAGTACAGTTGGTGATGCCTAGTTTCGTTGAAGGCGTCGATGCTGCCTTCATGGTCCAGATACGTTGTCATGGCTCGTACAGTGGGCCGCGCGTCACGGTTGATGAGAGCTGCGGCTGTATCTTTGATTTGGTCTGCCTGCGTGAGGGCTGAATAAGCATCGAGGAAAGCAGTGCGGACTGAATTGCCACTATTGTTTCACCTTTCTCGTGGCATGGCTCCGGCTACTGCTCATGATTGCCACGTCACCTATTACACCTTGAAGTCTGAGTCTAACATGCAGGTCGCAATCTCCTGGCGCTGACAGGCTCGAGGTCCACGGC